TTCACCTTTTATTAATTATAGCACAATGGTGTTTTAAGCCTGCTTTATGAAAAATAAGTGTTTATTTTCTTTGGTACTATTAATGAGTTAGAGATTTATCTACTTCTGTTACCTTTAGAATTAAATATTTAATACATTTGAAAAATAATGTTTCTTCACAAAAATTCATTGATTTATTATACTAATATGTGGTAGTTAGATATAAAAAGCCTAGTAAGACACATTTCCTTCCCCCAAAGTTTGGTTATTTCAGTGAGCGAGATTAATGTCAGCAACTTCAGCAGAGTCTGTAGATGCTGTGACGATGTGAGGTCTGAGAGCAGGGTCATCCTTACAGGCAGGCAGAGGGAGCTTTTCCTGGAGGCTGTTAGAGAAGCAGAACTTAGCTAGGAGGCATTGATTGAGCATACTGTTGGCATAGGTTTGTGCTTCTGGCATGTTGGAGTTTGGGGAGGGATAGTCAATGGCAAGACGTTTGTCAGATGTTCAGGAAACAAATTATGAATCTAAAGTTCTTTACATTTTTCTAGAGCGTTTTGTGTAGGATATCAGCCTTTTGAGATGGATACTTTTGCCAGCAGCTGGATTGCTGATCAGGGGTACACGTGTTGATTGGCAGCAGAGGCCTGCACTGATGGTATGATCTGGTAATCAAGGTAACATTGATTGTCTGAGCCAGCAGCAGTGGAGCTGAAGGAACTATCGGAGACCTAATGATGACTCCCAGTTTTCAGGGTGGAGTGCCCAGGTGGTTGTTGGGAGCATTCTCCCAGTTGGTAAATTAACTAGGTGAGGGATTCACCAAGTAGAAGATCCCCAAGGGACATCCGCATGTAGAAGCCCCACATGTGAATGCATATGTGAGCCGAAGCTCCAAGGGATGCTGGACTGAATTGAAAGCCTTGAGGAACTTTCATATTATTGGTATTTCAAACTCATCATATTTGAGGATAGTTTAGGCCAAAAAAAAAAAGAAAACCAAAAAAGGGTGTGCAGAGACTAGAGTATAGCCGGTGAGAGAAGTCTGAGAGGGATGGCTGAAGGACAGGTCTTTGAAGGAGATGGAGTTGAAATGTTTCAGAGGCCTTGAAAACCAGAGCAGGCCCACTTTTGAAGAAGGCATAACTGGTATTGGGATTCTGCAGAGTTCAAGGGAGGTAAGCACAGAGGTGGCTACTGTGTAACATGTAGAAAGCCATTGGCAACAGTGTGAAAATCCGCTCAGGACAGCAGAGTGAAGGCCAGGTGTTCACTGTACCGACAGCTGGATGAGACATTGGAGGTGACTATTTCAGCTGTAAGTGCCCGAAAACAGTGATGCCATGTCAAGTCAGGCAACTGCCCCTGGGGCTTCTGAAAGCTTTGGCAGAGGCAGCAGTTTTTGAAAATTCAGAAACCAAAAATTAAAGTAAAGTCCAACTGTACTAAATCCCTAGTACTTCTGGTCCCACTCACCTACGCTGTGTCATGTGACCTTACTGCTTCCTTGGTTCTGAGCATACACATTGCCCTGCTGTGGTTGTTGTTTCTGTTTGCCTTGTTTTTACTGTGCCTACAAATTTTTCTGACCTCATAGAAGTCAAATGTTTTAATTATGGGAACAAAGAATATTTTCTACCTTCATTCTTCAGCATGATTAAGTTAGTTTATCTTTGATTTGTATTGTGTTTGAATATATGATTTACAAAATAGTTCGATTTGCTTACTTAAGTTCCATAAAAGATCTTTCCATAGATTTTGGCCCAGTATTAGGATGTAATTTTAGCAATTTATGAAGTGGTGCTAAGCATGCTTTACCATTTTTTATTGCATACTTGTGTGAAGTGTCATACCGAGTATTGAAACTTATAAAATCAAAATATCTGTCAACTCTGAAAACATTAAAGAAGCCCTCCATGTGTCATGGAGGATTAAACTTTCATGCAAGATTGAATTCTTTATGTAAAAATAAACAAATACATCCATCTCATTATTATGCAAATTTACTTCATATAGTAATACATAGTGAAATTATGTGCATATTTAGAAATACTCCAAAATACATTTGTAGTAATTTATTATCATTAAATATTTGATTTGTGTATCTGTTTTATGTACTATATATCCAGGACAGTAAAATTTTTCTGGTGCAAAGGGGTTGTGGGTGGCGAATGTTTAAGGAGCTCTGTTGAGATGCTAAGTCTGTTTCTTCTTGAGAATGAAGGCAGATGATAGTGGATGGGATCAGCAGGAGAGAGGTGCTTTTCATTTTAGTGGGAGGAATGTGTATGCATCGAAGTGACTAAGCCATGAGGCTTTGGCCTAGACAAGACTCAAGCTTCCTCCTCTCCTGACGATGAAGCAGGAAGAATGGCCACCCACGTGGTTAAGAGTGCATGTTTGGAGGGTGGGATGAGAGTGGGAAGGCTCCTGACTCCTTATCTCTGCATGAAGAAGATAAATGATTTAAACTCCAAAATAAACTGGTTTTTAAGATTTTGCTGTATAGGAACTTAAATTGTTTCTAAGCCTTTAAACCCCAGTGGAGAAAAATTTATTAATGATAATGTAGATCCTTTTATTAGTGTTTGCAAAAGCCAATTTCAGGACTCTATGCACTCTTTCATCTATCAGAGGGCTTGCTCAAATTACATTCTTGTCATGGTCGTTCTGGAGCTCCAGGACAACACAAATGTTGCAGCATGAATTTTCAGTGCTGATCTTGACCGCAGTGAAGTGTCTGTGAAGGCTGAAGGTCAAGGGTTTGATTGATTGGGTGATTAAAAATTCCTTTTAAGACAAATTAGATGTGGCAGATTTGCCACAGGTGAGAAGCACTACAAGGAAACGAATCTCATTAGCAGATAAAACTTCTTGGGTCATTAAAAAGGAAGTTTTATGTTTTACACACACAAACGCTCACAGATACACACTTGTGAAGGACCTACATAGGAAGGCATACTTAGTATTGTACAATTTAGATAGATGAAGCACAATTTTCTTATGTTTATGAATAAACACAAGCACTAGATGAGTATGTTTTTATTTTAATTTAGAGACTGGCACTTACCTTAGTACTTGAGGTTAGTCATTCACTATATTTGTCCTTATATTTGGGGTCTTCCAAGTTATCAGATTTGTGACTAGGCCCTTGGATTTGTGGTCCCTTGTTTAGGAGGAAGTAGTAGGGGAAGGGAGGAAGCATGTAGACAGGAGAGTTGTAGCATTCACTGGGCAAAGAGGAGGAGGCTGTGTAAGGTGGTGGGCAGAGGCAGTAGTCTGTGAAGAACACGTAATCAATTCAGAATTTTAAAATTAATTTTGCTTTAAAGTTTACATTTGTAGTCTGTAAAGGTGAAAATTCAGAGTGCTGCTGGCTACCTGGGGACTGGTCTGCTTGAGCCCAATTTTCATTCTTTTTTGGGAATTTTATAATAAAATATCTTTAAAAACATCAGTAGAAGCCGGGTGGTGGTGATGTATGCCTTTAATCCTAGAACACAAGTGGCAGAGGCAGGAGGATCTTTGTGAGTTCAAGGCCAGCAGAGTCTTGAGAGAAAGTTCTAGGGCAGCCAAGGCAACACAGAAAAACCGTGCCTTGTGGGGAGAAAAAAAAAAAACAATAGAGATAACATAGTCTTTTGCTTGCTGTCAAGTAAAAGAATATTTATAAGAGCAGAGAGCTTTCTTCTTTCCTTCCTCCTGTCAGATCTGTATGATAGCCTTAGCCTATGAGCCTGCTTTTGAGATGAATGTTAGCAAGCTATTTAGGAAACAAAGTAAGGCAATCAGTGTTCTCTGTAGCCACCTTTTAGTGTGGAGATATGTGGCTTCTTTGTCTTCACTCCCGGCAGTGGATGTTTACATGAAGAGGTGTTTTCCTGACACAGAAGCCCAGAGCTGAAAGTGGCTCCTCACAGAAGACATACAGCTCAGAGGTGGAGGATCAGTCTTTGACAAGCTTTTCAGTAAGGGCTGAAGGGAGTCAGAGAGGCAGGCGAGTAAGGCAGGAGCTGGTATCATGGGGCTCTCTACTGTGTGCTAGCATATAGTCACAATTTACATGTGTGGGGATGGGTGAAATCCTAAATCAATGTATATTATTGACATGAGCATACATAGCCAAGTCAAGCACCCTAATGCCTCGGTCCCATGGGAATGGTAAGGTCCTTCATTCCCCAGGTCAGACCCAGAGGTCTGAGTATGGATGTTGACAGTCTACGCAGAAAGTGTCAACTCTGACTTCATCCTCCCAGATGATATGCCACCTGAGACTACTGGAACTAGCTGACCTGCCTCCATTCAGCGTAAATATGCTGCGTTTCATGGATGTCGGTGCTTCTCCATTATAGTGTATGGCCCACACAATCCTAGCTTTTCTGTACTTCTGCCATTCTTCATTTCCCATTGCCCCAGTCAGGTTAATCTCAAAGCCATGCAGGTCCTGGCACATGTTTGTTAATCCTGGCGTACAGTGATTCTGTCATGGCAGAATAGTATAGTATTAAGTGTGTGTGTGTGTGTGTGTGTGTGTGTATATATTGTTGTATTTAGTGCATCACACTGTTGTGTCTCTTTCTCACCATTCAACTCTGTCATCCTAAACTGAACCTTTGCATCCATCAAGCATTAGCTCCCTATTTCTTCCCCCACCCGACCCATGGCAGCCACTGTCCTAGTTTCTATCTCTGTGAATGTAACTAATGTTAGTACCTTACCTAAGAGGAATTACACAGCATTTGTCTTTTCATGAGTGGTTCGTTTCACTTGGCATAGTGTTTTCAAGGTCATCCATACTGTAGCATGTTTCACTTTCTTGGCTGGTGAATGCTTCATTCTGTATATACAATACATTTTATTTTCTTTGCAATTTCTGATGGACTTTTTTGCTTCTGTTTTTGTCTGTTGTAGATAAAATACGACCACCACAGCACATTATGTCCCTGATTTTAGTCCTTGTGTCCATACATTGTAATGTGGAACTGTTGGACCATATGATAATGTTGTGTTCAATTTTGCAGGCACTTCTGTACTGTTTCCATATGGTGGCTGTCTGATTTTGCAGTCCCACAAGCAAGTCCATAGAGGTTCCAGTCTCTGCCCAGGAGGTAGGTACTATTGTCCTCAGTGTTGGAGAGCAGCAAGGAAGCAGAGAGTAGCTAAATGTCATACAGATGAAGTCAGTTCATATGTGTAGTTCGGATTTGGCACTCACCATCTATACTCCACCACAATGTCCCATGACACACAAGTGTGATAAGGTACAGAGAGTAAGCAGCAGAGTCTGGATTCAGAAGCCGCTGTAGGGGGGATACTGTTAGCCTTTACCCCCTTTATGTAAAAGTGCTATTTAAAATAGAGTAATCTTTAAATGTCATTTATGCCTTTCCTCCAACTCTCTGAATTTATACTTTAAAATGTTTCTTTTATTTAAAATATTATTTTAAAAATGTCAGCAGTGTTTGGTTTTCTTTTTGAGTTTCTTGAGTAAATTTTTTCTTTAAACCTATTGAATAAATATGCATTTATTCTAGTGAATTTTAAAATGTAACTCTACTCTATCCCTCTCTGTCAGAAGTTTGCTTTCAAATAAAACTAAACAAAGTATACAAAGTCGATTTAAGCCGGGAAAGCCTGGAGGGGAGCAGTGGTAGACATCTGGGCTTCTTTTTATTCAGATAAAGTAAACTTACAGCTTTTATCCACAGAGGAAAAATAGGAAACATATTCATTTTCCTGCTTATATTTTTCTAAGAAAGTGTTGGCTCTCTCTCAGAAGGATGCATGGGGCTGTGTGGCTTTCAAAAATGGAGCCATGCTTAGGGGTGCTGGCCCAGCTCAGCTGGTATGTTCCTGTCACAGGGTCTCCAGTGCCTCACATTGACACTAGGGAGGATACTCGCGGTCTCCCAGAGCTGGTCTCATCAGGTTTGCTTTGTAAGCAGGGAGCTCTGCTGTGCTCTGTCCTCAGCTCCTTAAACAGGCTTGAGAGGAGAGAAAGATGTCCTATCCCAGTGCCTGTGGCTCACATCCTGCTGAGATGCCGCCGAGGCAGAACACTTCCTACTATGCAGGAGGCTGAGTACCATCCCAGAACTAAACAGAGAACCACAAGGAAACAGAGGGATACCAGGGTTTCATCCCCACTCTGACTGGTTTCACACTATAAAAGCTAGCAGTTTTAACATATGGTGAAGGTATTGGGGACTTGGCTATATTCTCCTTAACTTCTTTCTAATATGTTCTTTAAGTCTGTCTCAGGGTTTTATTGCTGTGAAGAGACACCATGACCACCACAACTCTTATAAAGGAAAACATTTAATTGGGACTGGCTCAGCAGTTTAGTCCGTTATCATTATGGCAGGAAGTATGGTGACATGCAGGCAGACATATGCAGGAGAAAGAGCTGAGAGTTCTACATCTGGATCCATAAGCATCAGGAAGAAACTGCTACACTGGGTGTGACTTGAGCATCAGAGAACTCAGAGCCCACCCTCAGTGATACAGTTTCTCCAACAAAGCCACACCTACTCCAACAAGACCACATCACCTAATAATGCCACCCCTATGGGCCAAGCATTCAAACACATGAGTGTATGGGGACCATTCCTATTCAAACCACCACAAGGTTTTACTTAAAAGTTTTGCTATGAATAGTCGCAAATATACCTTTCCTCATGCTATACTCATTAGCTGAGTTGCTGGGGTATTTCCTTACATATGAAGGGAATCTCTTTTATTACTATTTGACTTATGGTAGAAAATTACTCTTCTTTCTTTGCTGTAGTGATGGTTGCTATAGCAGAAAGATTTAGTCCACTCTGTAGAGTTGTGCGCCCCAAAGAACAGAAGAAGGGCAGAGATTTGTCTGTGTAGATGTCAGAACAAGTTCTAGTCACCTTCTAGATTTGGTGTTGTATTAGTTAGGGTTCTCTAGAGGACACATACACAGACAGACAAACACACACATATAAAGGGGATTCATTAGAATGGCTTACAGTCTGTGTTCCAACTAGTTCAACAATGGTTGTCTACCAATGGAAGGTCTGAGAATCCAGTCATCCTTCAGTCCAGGAGGATGATGTTTCTGCTGGTCCTCAGTGTACACTGGGATCCTGAAGGAGCAGGCTCTAATGCCAATAAAGGGATTGACTTGCTCGTGAGAGTGAGAGCAATTCCTTCTCCCGTGTCCTCAATTTAGATTACCAGCAGAAGGTGTGACCAAGATTAAAGGTGGATTTTCCCACCTGAAAAGATCCAATTAAATGTGTTATCTTCCCACTTCAGAGATCTGAATTAGAAGTGGGTCTTCCCACTTAATGATTTAATTGAGACAAAAAGCTCTCACAGGTGTGCCCAACCATTTGGGCTTTAGTTAATTCCAGATGTAGTCAAGTTGACAACTAAGAGTGCCCATCCCAGGTGCTTACTTATTTGTGTGAACTGAAGACTGATGTCTTTTTGCTGCTGTTTCTGATAGTTCCCAAAGGCTTCTCGTTTAAATGTTCACCTCCTCTGAAGAACACTGTTCCAGCTCTTTCTGCTTCCTGTGTTTGGAAACACACAGCCATGTCACTAAAACAGAAGACCTGGCTTTGTGTGGGAGTGGGCCACAGAGTATTTGCAGTCTTCTAACACGTGGAGAACAGAAGAGAAGTTGTGCTTCTTGAATTTCTTCTTTTGCTAATGACAATGGCCATGTTGACTGTGACTTTAAGTTACTTAGTAGAAATTTCCTCAGAGTTTGGGGATTGTTTGAAAATTAATATTTTAAGATCGGCATGGTGGCGCACTCCTGTAGAGGCAGAAAAAATATCAGTTCAGAGCTATCTTGGACCTCAAAGTGAATCTGTCTCAAAAAATGAAAAAGAAATGAAAGAATGCTTAGGTATACTATTTGGTAATCTGTCATTACTTTGTTTCCTGTCATCCTGTGGTAGTGCTGTTCATAGTTGAAGCCACAGAAATGCATGACTTACTGTGACCTTCCTATGGTATATGTCTTAGAAATCTGACTGATGGCTAAAAGTGACTGAGTTGCGTAGCTCAGGACAAAGCCTTCCCTATCTACTCCAAAACCATTTTTGATGTAGTTAGAGCCCGTCAGACATACATTCCATTATATGCTGGGAAGCTGATTCCAGCCACTGAAGGTGCCAAAGTGCATCCATGCCCTACAACAATGTACTAATTGTGTACCACCAGAACACATGCTCCTGAATATGCTCATGCTTCTCTAGATGATTTATAGTTCTTAATACACTGTAAGTGCTATTCAGAAGAGTGCTACACTGTATTGTTAGGAAAAATAATAACAATAAATAGTGTTGGTGTGTTTAGTACATATGCAGGTTTTTTTTTTTGGCTCTGATTTCTTTTGACCAACGTTTATTTGAAGTCATGGATAGATACTTCATGAACTGGATGTATGTGTTCATATGTGTGCAATATAAATATGTAACTATAAAGTATCTAAATGTTATGTCTGTTTGTATCCTGGTATACCTGTTGATTCAGAGTGATATGAAAATTCTCTTTCATTTTGGCTTATGACGTTTTGTGGGGACGCCTGCTGCTGACACTGAGTGGTCTTTTCAGAGAGGAACATACGTGACATGGCATTCCTGTTTAGGAAATCTTTTAGCAGTGTAGGGACCTGGGAAATGTTTCTTTTAACCTTTATGCAGATTTCTTCCCTTGGTTAATTTCTTAGGTGACAGCTGTGTATAGAGGTGGGAGTGAGACCTAGGCACTGATGGGTGTAAGACAGATTATTTAGATAATGCCTGCGACATCTGATCGTCTCCAAAGTCTTAGAAAATGAGGTTGTGCTCCAGATGTCTCCTGAAGCAGTTGGCATAGCTTTTCTGGGCTGCACTTACTTATTATTCCTGCATCTATCTTTAGTTACTCCTAGATTGTTGACCACCATTGTGGGCTGCTTACTTAGATACGTCACTAAGAAAAGGTTCAAGGTTATAGAAACAAGACACTTAATTTTTCTGATGTCTTAACTTTGCCTATTTATTTATTTATTTATTTATTTATTTTCTGACTTGGCAGTGGTGGCACAATCCTTTAGTCCCAGCACATGGGAGGCAGAGGTAGGCTGATCTCTGCGAGTTCCACAACATAGAGAACACACAGTTACACAGAGAAACTCTGTCTCGACAGAAAACAAGACAAAACAAGACAAAACAAAAAACAATTCTAGAAATTCGAAATGAAAAGAGCAGCAAGGTACAAGCAAATACTCTTTAAAACCTAGCCTGTTGTTTTTTGGAGATGTTCTGCCAGCTCCTCTTCTTCTACAGCAAGCGTCTGGGTCTTCCTTTTCTTCAGCCCCCTCCTCCTCTTCCTGTTCTTCCTCCCACTTCCCTTTGCCTCTTTCTCCTTGGTTTTTGAGATAGATAGAGGTTTAACATGCTGATCTGACTGGCCCAGAACTTGCTATGTAGACCATCCTGGCCTCAAACTTTTGATGATATACGCTTCCTCTTCAGATATCATCACGGTTAGGATTAAGCCGGAGATGTCAGGTTTACCTTGCCAGCCTTTGGGACTTTCAAAGACATTATCATTTCTACAGGAGTCAGTTCTGAACTCATCAAATCTACCATAGGATAGGACGTGTAAATGCTATATGATCTGAGTGTCTTTTTCTTGATGGGACTGCAATGTTTTGGATTTTGTGGTTTTGAATATTTTAAATAAAAACAGTGAAATAATTGGCATACAGTTCATATTGTCATACAAATGTATATGTACCTATAAACACAGGCTGAATGTACAGTATTTTTTGTTCACTTATATTCTGACTGTTGTCTGTCAGGAGGCCAGTTGTGGAATTTTACACTTCCAGTGCCATGTTTGTATAGAAAAGTTATAAATTTTGGAGCATTTTTGACTTTGAAATGTAAGGTTTCTCATGCTGTATTAGATAGGACGGGTGATGCAGAGGTGACCAATGTGAAATAAATTTGTTATTTGTCAGATGAATAAATATTCCAGTTTAGTTGATATACCCACAAAAACAAAAGGTAGTGTTGGGAGGTTTCCATGGACGTGTCCTTCATGTGAGGTGTTCAGCTGAGCAAACAGCTGGATT